ATCCACCAAGAAATAAATAGACTTCACTATAAGGGACTCAATGGATGCTCTTGGGAATTTTTATCTGTGGAAGAGAACATATGCTGCTTGAAGTCCTAACATTGCTACAGTATGGGAAGCAGGGCAGCACCCATGGATACTGCGACTTTTTCCTCTTTGCCTCCCAGTGACTGACAAATTCATGCTATCAAGGAAGTATTCTTACTATATTTCTTATTTTTATTTGGCATTTTCAGGTACTACTATGATGCTGATCTCCGGCTGTGTCGAATGTACTGGCACGGTGGCTGCTTCTCGTACTCGAAAAATGATTTTCCCGATCAGGAAACATGCCAGTGGAAATGCATGGGAGTACATTCAGAGCAAGCTTCAAGTGAGTCTTTTGAATTTGTTTTGCCTATCTTCCAAATTTTCGATCTCATAGTCAGTGAATGGGAAACGTTACTACCAAAACCTAAAGGGTAATTTGATTTGATTTTTTCGATTCTCAATTTTTGCCTTCGAAAACTATCGGATCCGTCTATTTTCGCACACCTTTTTACTTTTCTTTCTTTTTTACTTTTTTCATTACTTTTTTTTCTTCAGTTTTTTCCCACTTTTTGAAAGGAAATTCCCTCGTGTCACAGAAAACAGTACAAAATTCTCCATATGTGTGCGACCTCTTAGATTACTACGAGATTATTACTATGAGAATCACTTCCGTTTGGCTCAGCCAAACAGGCGGTTAACATCGGCCTCATGGGCGGTCTAAGCGAATAATATGGATGTGGCTGGGTGATAGCCAAGCTCAATGAATCGCAGTCCCAATCTCGCCATTTTTTACAGAAGCGTGCCTGGACCCATTCGATCGGACGTACCTTGAAGACTGTCGTCACGGCGAATTTAGCACTCGTTACTACTTCAACTTCGGTCGGTGCGTTTGAAAACCGTTTGAATACGATTGCCATATCTTCCAGACCTGTATATCATCTATTTCCATTCATTCTACCATCTGAATTTCTTTCTCTCCAGTAATTGCGATTCTCTATCAATTCTCAGAACAGAGGATCACCATCTTGGAATAAACCGCTGATCTTTGTATTTCGACCACTTTCGCGTCCCAAATTCGCATGAACCGCTGAGTAAAAAAGGAGAGAGGTTTGGAACATCAGTACGATGCCCCTCTTCCCCGTGTCCTACATATGTTACGATATCCTGTGAGCAGTATCCTATTATCCTTTATCCTGTGAGCAGAAGTGTTAAGCATGGTTTTTCTGGTACCAAAACATTCCTGCTCTTTTCCACCCTGCCCACTTTGGTAGCAGTTCTTCGCCAACTCGATAACATGCCATCACCTAGTAAACGCACATTCTGCCACCATTTTCTCTTCCAAACCTTTTTTCATAATTGCTTTCGGCGCTATCGCAATATACAGAGGCACTGTGATGGCAACGCATTTAAACCTTCAAAGTTTTGTTTAAACGAGACTAGGCCTTAGGCGGGGGGAGAGACTCTAAGTGCGTGGCCACATTTTTCCTGGGGCTCGCCTCCTTCTAGGCTTCGTCGTAGAGGATGCCCCCGTATAATGCGATAGCGCCTTGCGTTCTCTTGCATTCAAGCAACTTTCTTACTCATCTGCATGAATCGTACAGAGATTTTTCAAATCCTTCTTCATCTACCGACAAACGCTGTTGTTCCGACGCATTTCCTTTTACTTCTTATCCAAAAATGGCCACGACCATCAACAGCCCTCTTTACATTTGAGGAATGTTTAGGAAGAAATGCCAGTCAATCTACTGGGGTGGCTGTCAGTCATCATCTCAAAATTTCTTCACCAGTCTCGATCCAATGCGAGGAGTTGTGCGAGTCGCCGCCGCGTGAACTTGCTCGTCAGTTTGAATGAAGACTTTTTCATACAATAAGTAATATCACTTGAAATCTGTCACAGCTATATGTATACAAACAATTATATGGCGTGGTCCACCATTCGTTTGAGTATCTTGGCGGAAGGCGTGATGGACATTACGACGCCTCGTACCAATTTTGGCCGCAAGTCCCAAAGTGGAATTAACTGTCATTACTCACGTGATACCCCGTGATGCCAAAGTCGGCGTTGCGATATAATGCAATTATTAGTACAACAGTTGAACATACCAAATGAAAACCCTTTACAAATCTTCAAGTCTGTACAGGCTTTTGTCATTCAGGACCACAGACCACCAAACACCCACAGACTTCTCACACGTGTACCAAGTAGGTGTAGCTATCTAATTTGCATAAAGTAGGCATTACACGATTAAGGTTGTAGAGCATTGGAAGAATGGGAACGTGTATCTGTTGCGAAAGAAGCGGCGCCCCTGAGAGTGCGCGCACGTGACCTTCCCCAGCGAAAAGCTATGCTCCCGCGCCGTGCCCGCGCATTCGACCTAAGCGGCGGCTCTAGCAGAGAGAGCGTTGCGTTCAAGAGCGCCCTCTTCGCTCGAACGCCCGCGACAACGGGCAGAGATCCCCAAATTTTTTCTTTTTTCGGGGGGGGGGTTTTTTCCAGTCGTTTTTTGGTGTTGCCTTATATCCCGTATCACTGCACACCTTCTACTTCTTGCATCAGCGAGATGTCTCTGTTCATCGTAAACCCCGCCTTCATCTAGTTTTAAGTCTGAAGCTGAGGCGCTGGTGCCAACGTGAAGGTTTCAAAAAATTTATTTGAAACGAAGGTGGAATAATGAGAGCAGCCGATGTTCGAGGTTTGCGCGATCGAGAACGTGTCGAATCGGGCAAAACTGCCGGCTTATAACTGACCGTTAGAAAACACCCTTCTGCGCACGCAGCCGCGGTGACTCTGGACAGGAATCTCGATTGCAAATACCCGCGTGATGCATACGATGCCTCCATTGTGTTAAGGCGAATTTAGAGCAATTGCTTGATTTGAATAAAAGAAGGAAGACACCACAATAATATTCAACTAAAACAACCTCCAAGGGCGTGTCGGCCGAACAAGCCCTTAAAACTAACTTGAACTCTCTGTGGGTGCGACGAGCCTGACCGCGTCAAGGAATGACTACATTATTTAACGAATCCGGACACGATGAGCGGCAAGAATTGAAAATAAAGTGAGCTGTGAAGAACATGAGAACGTGAGGTATGTATAAAAAGTGGATGGTTAAAAATAACTCAGGCGGGGTTAAAACGGAGACACTACGAAGAAACTCCTGAAGAAATTGTTTAGTTCCTTACAGCCACCGAAGCGTAGACCTCTCTGACACGACTAACCCCTTTCAGAGTCATGTTTGGAGCCGTTCAATGATAGCTATCGTAATTCCTGTACAAGTGATGGGCGCTTCAAGCAGTACTACTACTTTGATCTTTCTACAAACTCCTGTAGAATGTTTTGGTAAGCGATTTATCACATCTGTTAGACCACCAACTATCACGTAAAACGCTTACTGGTCTTTGCCTAGGTTCGGAAACTGCCGTGGTACCGCTCCAGAACATCTATCCGACACTAGAGTCCTGTCAGTGGATATGTGAGCGACGCCGTGATGAGCAAGTACCAGGTAGGATTGAACCAATCGACTATCGATCAAAGAGGATCGTAGTTTTTCAGCTCCTTGCAGCGATGCGTTCGATGACAAGTACAAAGAATCGTGCAGAGGCGGTGAATGGGTCGAGAAAGTGTATTTTGATGTAGGGTATTCTCAAAAATTCTCAGCTTCTTACTACAGCTTTTCGAATTTAACTCAATCCCCCGTCTGCTACTATGAAGGTATTTTACTTGATCAAAAATTCAGCATGGAACAGGAAAGTGTGTGCACTTTTGGTGGGATGGCTGCACATCGCCATCTCAGAACATCTTCAATGATTTGAAAACATGTCAAAGCTTCTGCGAACAGCCAGGTCAGTGCACATTTGGAGGAGCTTGCTTCTTGTTATTTATACTCTGTTTGATAAAACTAAAAGTTCTGAGAAATTCCTTGTTTTCTACCCAAAGAGCGAGGAATGTTGCGTAGATCAAAGTGCCGTTACCAGTACGATGCTTATTTATTTCTTTATTTATTTACAATGTAAACAAAGATCTTCCACAAAGGGTGAAGTCGAAAAAAATTGAATTAATTAACACACATTGACGACCGCGCGCGTTTTGGCTTTTTTGGCCGTGTGGGACCGGGCCGATTTTGCGAGTGCGACCGCCGCACCTCGGATCCGTGAATTTTTATTGATAACTTTTTAAAGCACCAGTGGTACAAAAACATCTCAGTAACAGTCAATGCGTAGAAGGTAATAGAGTATATAGTGACGAAGTTCCGATTAAAGAACATGTAATGGTAATGAAAAAGGAAACAAAAAAAAAAAAAAAACAAAAAAGTAAAAAAAAAAAAGGTAAGGAAAACTTTAGTCATCATTTTATCTGTAGTGGATGCCAAAAGCTCTTTTGATGTGGTTATACCAAGTGAAACATGTATTTTTCTGTCTCTTTAGATTTGCATTTACTTTCACTACCCTTTTTTATTGACGTGTTCATGAGAATAGCATGAAAACTATTAATGAACCAAGCCGCCGGTTTCGGTGAGCTTGGAAAACTTCTTCTAAACTGGAGCATATTTGAACAAACAATGACCTATGTCGTTCACAATAATGTTATGTTCTAATCCATAGAAGAGAGACAAACAATTCGGGAAAAAGCTGCGCATGCCCTAGAAAAAGGGATGATAAGGGTGAGACGCGGTAACGCGTCTCAATGTCGTCATATGTGTTAACATACATTATAGGTGATCAGAGATTGCTGAGATTAGCGTTATTAACCAGTGTCGTTATATTGGTAATTTGGGAAGGATACGGTAGCTACTGTGATCTACCGGCTATCATGTACGGTACTTACCATAGCGCCCACCGTAACTGGCCTTTGCCACGAGATGAAAGTAACTTAACAACAAAGCCGCAGTGCCCCCGGCCGGCGCCCTAAACTTTGGAAAATTCTAAATTACCAATTGTCTATCTCGTGTCTCCTGCTTTCCCTCTCTCTCTGTCTGGCTTCTCTCTTTCTCTCTTCTACTCTCCTGGACTCTACAAAGAGGCTCCTTCCGGAAAAAGTGCTTGTTTACAAAATGTACGAAGAGATTTTACAGGATCCATGAGAATCCGACCAAAGGTTCTTGACCGGAAACAATGTGAATTAAACCGCTGCTTCACAACGCTTCATAGTAGCGGTACATGCAGAGAAACGTAAGTTTCACCATTCAAGTGATAGTCTGCGAGGAACTGCGCCGATTCAGACGGGTATTCTACATCTGATGCTACTAACACACTCATTCTAGTCTACTCAGCCTCTACTATTCGACTCGCGATCCAACGAAGACTGTCGACCGTTCTCGTATACGGTGGATGTGGCGGGCAAATCTGACAACGCTTGTCCTCCCACTAAACACAGTGCCGAAGGATTGGCGAGGCGCTCTTCATGTATCTGACCGGTGAATCTAGTTCCTACAGCAACTCGGACTTAAAGCAGGGACCGATAACTAAAAGATGCTAACGAAAGAAAAACTATGCCTTTACCGTGAAGGGGGTCCAAGCCCTGATTAAACGAAGACGTAGGCTTTTTTTTGCTGCGAAAGACGGCCTATAGCGACCGACGTAAAGCGTTTACCCAGTCCACCTAAATGCCTCGTTGCTACGAACCACACATTGTTCCGTTCCGGCCTGTTCGTCAAATATCTAGAGGCCTGATCTACTCGCGTCCCAAAGGTTCAATCTTCTGCGAAATTGGACTACTTTGCGGCATGGAATTCGCGCATCACAATCGCTCCCCCCCCCTCCTTACGGACCGGAAAATTAATTTTCAGATACGGAAATGGACTGTCACATGCCACTCGATCACGGAAACGGAAAAAGCGAGGAGAAATGTCTACCAAATGCCGGCTTCCGCTTTTACTTTCGACAGAGCTCATGGTGAGGAATGTCAAGCTTGTAAATTCGTTCCCTGAATTCCTGAATTTCAGGCAAATGTGCTCGTTTCTGGTATCTCGGTTGTGGCGGTAATGCGAATAACTTCTTCTCGTACGAAGTCTGTCAACGATCTTGTCGAACCCAAATGCAACGACTCGAACGGCGACCGCGTGCGAACAGCAATGGTACGAGTTTCTCGTCAAACGTCGGCACCGTTTCAACGACAACGTTGCTCACCTTTGTGCGCCTCTTGTTTGGCCATTGTCGGGATCATGTAGATGAAATGCCGCCACGATGAACCCACACCCTCTCAGAGCTTTCATCCGCTTCCTTGTAACGCCAAAGCTCATTACCGTCCCAACCTTGTCCAATGGAAATATTTATTTTGATTCTTAATAAATTGTTTTTCGATTGATCAAATCAAAAGGTTGCGATTTGTTGGTCTTTTCCCTCACTGTACTTGCATTTTTTAGTGTGCTTTCTACCAGCCGGGGATAAAGGCGACTGCCCCGGAAACGCCAACCACACAGTACAGGTAAGCTTCTAAATAGGAAACTTTACCAGTGATATTTTCGCAAGGGAGGTCACGACTCAGAAGGAGCTTCCTAATGACTGCAGTGCTAACTGCCAAAGCACAGACGTGGGCGCTCGAAGAGGAAGGATTTTCTGCCTTCTTCCGAAGACTGATTTCTGAACGCTGCAGAACGAAGAACATCACTACAGCGGCTAGGCAGAGCCAAGCAATATCCGTTCCTTTGCATCCTTTCAGGTCGGACAGTGATAAGCATGCCTTCTCAGACACTAAGATTCCCACTCAATTACGTTCGTAAATAGCCATGCTGTAGGTCTTCGATTCTTACGGCGTATCTTCCAAGCCAAAATCCCCTTTTGAAACTAATAAATCACTTTTTTGCAGCTGAATTCGCCCTACGACCTTCTCACCAATATCCTGTGTAAAAATTTCGAGCAACCTGGGCGTCTTCCGCTTTTTTTGACTTCCAAAAAATGACAGGTGCCAAAAACGCCGGTTTTTCTAGTCGACCTACACGCGGTATATATTCCAGTTCCTTAGCTCCACATCTGGATATCACTCGATTAACCCTTTGACGACCGCCGTTGTGCGTGCATTGCTTCACTTCTTTTTAAATTTTTTCGTCAATATCCATTAACACTCAAACAATTTCACTATTAGTAACTAGCATATTGTTTTGCGCTTTCAATAATGTATACAGCCAGCTTTGAAACACTCAAAAATGCCAAATAAATGACGAAAAACGAGTCGCCTCTAAGTGAAAGTGTGGCCCACCGGCGGGCCACACGGTCGTCAAAGGGTTAAAAAAGCCTCAAACACAGCACTTGGGACCAGAATATAGTGCCTTTAAGTTCTGCAAGGAAATCCTGAAGTGAGACAAAATGGAATGGATCGGTCAAGCAGAGAAACAAAAGCGCTATGACCATACATACCATTCCAATGATTTCATCTTATTAGAGATGGACGTACTCGGCTCAGCTACAATGCGTGCAATTCACCTACAGTGGATGTGGAGGTGGAGAGAATAGGTGAGCTATTGAAATTATTAAACACATCACGACGGCTGTAGGGCGTTGCGGTTTTGATGACGTTTTGGTCGTCACTGGTGGAACGGAGGTACGAAACGTCCCATACACATCCCTCAGCGCGCTGGGGAGCTAGTCCACAAATTGAACTCGAGAATTCAATCAAACCACACTGCCGCCCAGCAATTGCGATCAATGGGTTCAACTGCAAACTCATACTTTTATTTTCCAATCCGTAACTCATTTCAACGGTCATAACTATTTTCAGCAACCATAGCTGATTTCTGGGCGGGAGTAAATGGTGATTTAATATGAATGAAGAATATTATTACTCGTTTTGGGACGCGCCATACACACGAATTCGATTCAGGGTCGTTGAAGGCTTCATATCTGTCTTATGACTTACGAAAGACAAGCTCTGATTCCTAAGTTCCGAGAATAAATACATCTGTAGTTGTGCCATAGTGAACTCAGCTTATATTTCTCTGATCCACATAAGGGTCATACCTTATTACAAGCACTCGTCTTGAGATAACACCCGCAATAACACTGAGTTCCATACTCTCTAGCGAAGAATGCCTCTGCTCACGATCAGCTTAGTGCCCTACTTACAACTACGGTCCCTCAGATCCCATAGCGTCAAATACGGCCCTGTTTTTACAATTCCCTTTCTTGATCCTAGTCGAGACTATGGGGAGGCTGATGTTGCAAAACGTGATAGGTAAACCGAGTTGCAATCATACTAGCACCGCACCCTATTGTGAGGTTCACCTAGTATCCGGCTCATTTCTGGTCTCGAGCGTTTCCACGAAAAAATGCAATGTTTACAGAATCAGAAAGGAAAATTCGGAATTTAATAAATAATAAGTTGCACAGATTCGCAGCAACAAACTGGACTGCGAGAAACTTGTGACGGCAAAAAAACCAAGCAGCCGGAATTAAGCAGGTTAGTTTTTCTTCTGTGAACTTTCACGACGTACAAAGGGAATTAGATCATTTGCAAAGCAGACAGTTTTCCAAAATAGAGAGCTTCAAAAAGCACCTTTGCATAACTTTGTTTCCGATTCTTACGCAGCGCGGCGTCCAGTTTAGGCTCCAGATAATACGGATAAGGCTACGCAAACCACGTCGAGGCCAAATCCATCAACCACCTACACGGGCTTGAATGGAGGCCATTTCCGGCAGAATCAAAGACACACATAGAGCGGCCTTTGAGACGTAACTTCCACTTTTTGAGGTAATGCGTAAGCTATTCTCAATGGGGTCATCCTGTCTATGAGCCGTATCCTTTTATCAGAGGGAGAAAGCAGCGGCGCCCTCCGAAATGTACCTTGTTTTCGAGTGAATGCCTGTCCTTTCGCTCCAACCATGTTTTGACCTTCTAACCTTTACAATTACTTCTCCTTTCTCAAGGAAAAATTCCGGGGTGTAATGAGACGGGGACGGGGGCATTTTCGATCCACTCAGTCCTATGCGGAGCAGCAATAGCCAGTGGGTACACAAACGATGAATTCTTCTGTAGGTTCCTCGGATAATGTCGAATGGGCGTGCCTTTTTGAAGGGCCATTCTGCTCAAAGTTCCGTTGGTGCGTCGCGTCGAGTATGTGTCGTAAAGTCAACGTTTTTTCAAGGCAGAAATACACGCTACAGCCCAGTCCTGCGTCCGGCTCAACGAATGACATGTTGGCCCCTGATAATAGTAAACGCGTTATTCATTCACCCTCCGTTTCAATAAAACCAGAAGCGCGTCGAGTGCAGACCACACACCACAAGTGACGACGGCCAAGTAATCTGGTAACTAGTAGTGATTCATAGTGATAGCTGATTTTGGTAAATGATAGTTGTAATTAGTGACAACTGATAGAATACAACTGCAACAGGCTAATCATTCATTGGCAGAAAACATTTACATTTTGTGGAGGCCGTCGTCACTTGTGGTGTGTGATCTGCACTCGACGAGCACCTGGTCCTCGGAAACAGAGGGCACATGGGCTTTAATGTACATAACAAGCTTCTCCATGCATCTACGAACACCAAACTACATTTGGATGATTTGTGGTTTCAGCCCTATGTTCTTACGATCCGGACTGGGGACCATGCAATCAGTTACGCTACATGTGGTTCTTCAACCAGACTCCGTGGCACATGTGATCAATTCCTCTATGGTGGTACGTTCCAACTCACAAAGTTGAAATGCAAAAACGACGGTTGTCATGCTAATCAGCCTCTGAATTTAGGATGTGAAGGGAACCCTAACAAATTCGAAACATTCGAGCTATGCCAGAAAACTTGTGAGCTGTCGGGATTAGGTGAGAAATTTTTGCAGTGAGCGACTATCAGAGAATATTTTTTACTATTTACTTTCAAGTATGAACGTATTTACGCAGCAATGGTTCTTACAATTTTGGCATGTCCGCCAGAATAAATAAAATTCCGAAAGTCGAATTCGAAAATTCGATTTAGTTCCGTTACAATCGAAGGCACCCATTCGCGAAGGAAAAATGACAGATTTCCGAGTTGTCCGTTATGAGTATATAGAGTGGCTGAATCTGACCCTAAAAAGAATACTTTTTCTTGATTCCAGACCCATGCCTGGAGCCCTTGGATAGAGGAAGCTGGTGTGAGGCTATGTCAAATAGGTGAGTACTCTTATTTTACATACATATTGCTAATGGACCACAGCGGACTAGCTACATAGGGGTTGAAGACAGTGAATGCGATGGTAGTTCAGTGGTCGCCAGTCTGTAGACGTTATTCAGGGAGGGGG